ATATTGTGAGTATTTGTGATGTATCTATGAGTATATGTGATGTTTTGATGTATGTGAAGTGATATTTGGTGTTTTAGTAATTTTAGATAATTAGTTTTAATTATTTTGAATTATTATTAATTAAATAAATAAAATAACAAAAGGTAGAGACTATGAGGACAAGGTAGTAATATTATGAAGTAAGTGGAGGTAATATGGGAAGACCATAGTGAAGGAAAATAGCAACTCAATACGCAGCGGAAATTAAAATTTTCCTTTAGTGATCCTTACGAATGGGCATGGTCATTGATAGAAACTAGGCAAAATACCCTTTTTGGTCCTTTAAGTTTACCCCAAGGTCCATTTTGGTCCTTTATCTAAAAAAAGTGTCAAACTGGTCCTATAATTCTTTCAAAAGGACCATATGAGTCCTTTCCGTCCAAAAGGCACAAACGGACGTTTGGTTTGCATGCGTGGCAGGTGACATGGAATGTTATGTACACCATCTTCAAGCTGCTTCCAGAAATCCTCAAATTCTAGGGTTCACACATTGCATCTCAATTTTCCCATTTTGAATTTGAAATTCCCTCAATATGATGAAGGAAGCATCATCAGAGATCCGGTCTTCGTACGATTGCAATAGAGATGGAAGCTTAGATGGAAAGTTGCGATGGAGACCTATATGTGGTTGTGGAGAATCTGCGGTTCTTCGAAGGGCTACCACTATCATAAACTTTGGGAAGCAATTCTGGGGTTATCGTCATTACAAGGTAAGCATGAAATTAAAATGGGTTTTCATATATTCTTGGTCTGATAGTTCCTGCAATAGCTGAGATGAATCTGGATGTCACCATTACAGGGTTCATCTGAATCTGGGTGTGGATACTTTCAATGGTTCTTTGATGATGTGGTGGATGAGAAGGATCAGTTTATAAAGAAGCTGAATAATAGGTTGGAGAAGCTGCAAAATGAGCTTGATGGAGCAAAGATGGAGATACATCATCTAAAGGAAAGGAAGGATGGGCTGAAACATAAGATAATGGAGTTACAAATTGAAATGAAGAAGATGATGAATTCTCAGAAAAAATGGAAAAGATTCTTCTTTATTATGTTAGTTGTGGTAATTTGGATGATGTTGTAATAGACTGTTGAATTGAGATTATATGTAATAGAGTATCATATGTAACACAGTCTCAATTTGAACATGGTATCATTATGAATTTGAATTTTTGTATCAACTTGAATTTTTGAACTAGTAGCATTTTGATCAATGTAACATACTGTAAAACATATTGTAGCAATTTTTGTATCAATGTAGCATTTTGATCAATGTAACATACTGTAAAACTAGTAGCATTTTTGTATCAATGTAAAACATAATGTAACATACTGTAACTAGTAGCATTTTGATCAATGTAACATACTGTAGCAATTGAAGATAGGTAACAACATATAATTATAAGGTGGTGGATACCACTAAGTTGCATACAAAAGAACCTGATATTACAGGTCCAATCAAAACAGCCTGATATTACAGGTAAAAAAAAAAAAACAAAACAGCTTGATATTACATGATCAAAACAACTTAACATAACCAATTCTAATATTACAAGTTAATAAAACAACATAACAACTATAGGTCCAATCCTAATCCAAAACAGACATAAAAGTAAACTAAAGTTTCCACTTTGGTGCTGCTCTTTTAGTTGGTGTTGTCCTTCTTGTTGTTGGACCTACAACGGTTATTGATGCCTTTAACCTCGTTATTGGACCTGGTGGGACAAATGGTGCATTTGGCCTTCTAACTGACAACTTTTTGGATGATTTAGATTGAGATGGCTGAGAAGCTTGACCAGGAACTGACTTAGATGCTTGACATGCCACTGGTACAGATGCCACTGGTACAGATGCCACTGGTACAGATGCTTGAGATGGTTGAGAAGGCACTGGTACTTGTGGTACAGATGGTGCTTGTGGTACAGATGGTTGAGCTGCATGTGGTACTTGTGTAGTAGTTGTCAGACTAGTAGAAGGAACCTTACAAGTAAGCTTGTTGTGACCTACCTGCTTACACCTGCTACACTTTATAATGAATCTCGTTCTTCTCATCTTTTTATCAGTACCATCTAGCTCACCTTGCTCTAAATTCCTCCTTTTCTTTGGCCTTCCAGGCATTTTCCTGAATTTGGGTGGCATAACATCAGGGTACTCAGTTGTAACCCATAGGTTTAAGCCATTAACAGGGAATATGACAGGTTTGTACACTTGCAAATATCTAGATTTCCTGTAATAATCAGGAATGTATTCATCAATCCTATGGTTCCTATTCTTGATTGCTGCAAGTGAATGAACACATGGTAGGCCTGTTAGCTCCCATCTTCTGCATGAACAGATTTTTTCCTTCAAGTTTACAGTGAATTTTTCAGCAGAGTTTTCCAGATGCCTCACTTCAAACATATGCTCATCAGACATCCTAACACAGAAAAATGGACATTCCAAATTAAGACATCAAATGGACATTCCAAAGTCAGACATTCTAACACAGAAAAAATGCTTGTTTTAATAATTTTACCTGGGAAGCCACATGTTTGTGAATGAACTTGTTTTCTCAACCTTTTTCATAATGTTTGGCAACACTTCTACATCTGTCAATTTCTGAAACCTCATCCTGTTTGTAGCCCATCTCTCCATCATGTATATCCTAATTTCTTCCACCATGGTTATTAATGGCTTGGCCCTTGACTCCAAAATAACACTATTAAAGGATTCTGACATATTATTGAGAACTGCATCTCATTTGTTATGAGTCTTGAAGTATGATCTGCTCCAAAACCTTGGAGGGGTAGACATCATGTGCTTGTATGATTCTCCATTGATATGTTTCATAACTTTCATCTCTCTTTCCCAAGCTTGGTAGTAAGTTGATTTGGATTCCTTCCATATAATTTCCTTTAGTTTTTTTCCTGGAAATCTCTTCCTAAAGTTGTTGTAGAGATGCCTCACAGAATCTTTGTTCAACTGTAGGCAGCAGTTCCTCCATTGCAGGCAATAATCCCTGGGTCATGATATGTATAGAATTTAATTATTAAACATGAGAATACCAGGATAAATATGAGAATTTAATTATTAAAAATACTAATCAATTGAGAATTAACAATAGAGTCATACCTTTTGTTGATCAGAAATAAAAGCGTATGTGAGACACTCTTCTCTTCCACCTAGATCACCAATAAGCAGCTCCAAGAACCATGTCCAACTTTCCTTGTTTTCACTCTCCACTACTGCATATGCTATTGGTAGCATTTGATCATTGGGATCTCTGCCTATGGCTGACAGGATTTGACCTCCACAAAGCCCTTTCAAAAAACATCCATCAAGCCCTATGAAATGTCTACTTAACCTGAAGCTTTCCTTACAAGCTGCCAAGCATATGTAAATCCTTTTGAAGTGTAATTTCTGAACACCACTACCTTCTTGAGCTGGTTGGACATGTACTTTCACAGTTGACCCTGGGTTACATCTTAACAACTCATGTGCATAGTCATAAATCCTTGTATAATCCCCTAAGAATGACCCATCAACCATGTCTCTTGCTGCAAACCTAGCCCTTATAGCCTTGGTTTTGTTGACACCCACATTCCACTTCTTCTGCACCTTTTCCTTAATTTCCTTAAGCTTCATTCTAGGGTTGGTTTTAAGTGCATTCTGCAACCTCTTGCTAAGCCATTTAGTCTTCAACAACTTCACATTATATTCTCTACTGCAACTATGGGTGTCTACCACCTTTCTTAGTTGCCAAGTATCCTCAACATCCAACTTAGCCCAATAACCTTCCCATTCACATCCATCCTTACACCTAACCCTAACCCTTATCTTGTCATTTTTGATGTACTTTAAATTTCTGCCAGATTGGACTGCATAAGAGGTAACTGCTTCCTTGATATCTTTTGTACTAAAATATGTACCCACTTCCCATTTGTAATTGGACATATCCTTTAGAAGCTTGAAAATGGGATACTTCTTTCTCTTGGTAGTATTGCTATCTTCACTATCACATTCACTTACAAGATCCTCACTTTCATTATCACTTCCTTTACTATCTTCTTTATTTGCTTCAGTTTCACAGAGATCAGTTACATCATCCTTACCTTCTTCCTCTTCCAAGTCAGTATCACACTCATCAGTTTCATCATCAAATACAACCTCCTTTGCACTATCATACGAAAAGCTACTATCATCAGAGCTATCATCATCAGAACTATCATCATCATTCTGTCCAACAACATTTTCACTTGCCTCCTTCTGTCCAACATCATCTTCACTTGCCTCATTCTGTATAACAACATCTTCACTTGCCTCCTTCTGTCCAACAGCATCTTCAATTGCCTCCTTCTGTATAACAACATCTTCACTTGCCTCCTTCTGTCCAACAGCATCCTCACTTACCTCATTTTGTCTAACTGCATCCTCACTTACCTCATTTTGTCTAACTTCATCCTCACTTACCTCATTCTGTCTAACTGCATCCTCACTTACCTCATTTTGTCTAACTGCATCCTCTTCCATTACATTCAGGGGTGTCTCATCTAAAATAACTTCACTCTCATCAACATACTCAGGCTGTGACAATGGGTGTTGAATAAAGACTTCAACACTTAAATGAACCCTTATATAGATCAGCAATCTCTAAGGCCCCTTTGTCATCAAACAACAGATTCATTCCAGCAGTTGGATCCCTATAGTATATCTTCTCTATGGCTGGGTAACCTAGTTCCTTAATAGCACCCAATAACTCAAAATAACCCCACATATCAGCATCTACTCTCAAATCAGCAATCTCACCTCCTTCGTACACACTCAAGTCCTCACTAACAAATTGACCACTGTAGTGTATCGTAATATTAAGAATTTCCTCCATTACACACAATGCCCTAAATAGAGAGATGAATTTCAGAGAAGGGAGACGAATTTCAAGGAAACCCTAACTATGAAAATAGAATTCTTGCAGAAACTTACCTCTGATGAGAAGTCTGGTTTCACCTTCAAGGAAACATGCAATAGATGAGTGGTAATGCCACATAAGAGTGTCAAACTGACTTGTAAGTGGAATTGCCACATGCAATTTTTCTAAACACACGTGTAATGCCACATAAGCGCTGCCATTAAACATGACTAACGGAGTGGATGGAAAGGACAAACGTGGTCCTTTTGAAAGAATTATAGGACCAGTTTGACACTTTTTTTAGATAAAGGACCAAAATGGACCTTGGGGTAAACTTAAAGGACTAAAAAGGGTATTTTGCCTAGAAACTATTACCTCTTGTGGCGATTTAGATCTTTGATGCTATGATCACGAGCATTGATGAAGAACAACACCTCTACTCAGTTCACACGAACAGACAGTCTTCAGTCTCAATGTTAGCTGCTACGAATGAAGGCTTTGAGAGAGAGAGAGAGAGAGAGAGAGAGAGAGAGAGAGAGAGAGAGAGAAATACGGTCAGGGTTTCACAAACCCTGATTTCATCAAGTGAGAAAGCTTATGCACAAGAGTTGCATTAATATAACCACTTGTGTGGGCTACAAGCTAAAAACCTCGACTTAAGTGATCCATATAATAATAATAATAATAATAATAATAATAATAATAATAATAATAATAATTTTATTATTATAATAACTTTTATTACAATAACTATTATTGTAATAACTATTATTGTAATAAACATATTCTATTATTATTACATTTTATAACTATTATAAAATAATAATAATAATAATAATAATAATAATAATAATAATAATAATAATAATAATAATAATAATAATAATAATAATAACTAGGCTTAATGTATTATTCGGTCCTTTAATTTAATTTTAAGTTTCATTTTCGACCCTTATTTAATAAATGTTTATTTTAAGTCCCTTAAATCAAGTTTTGTTAGTCAATTGGACCTTTCCGTTAAAGTTTGTTAAAATCCGTTAAGTTTGGAAGACATGGCATTCTAACTGGCATTAATTTAGGTGATCTGGAGTTGTTTTTAATTTTTTTTATATTATATCAAGAATCTTTCTTCTTTCTTTCAACAAAAACCCTAGCCGCCACATACGCCTCTCTTCTCATTTCTTTATTTCTCTTTTCTCCTTCTTTCTCTTAATGAAAACCTTTTATTTTTAATTATCACACTGTAAAAACCTCTGATTTTACCATCACTCTTCCATCACTGCACTCCCCAATTTTTCTCACAAACGCATCTCTCTCAGTGGCTTCTTTCTTGATGCATAGAAAATGTTCGACAAAATGACTGAACAAATCTTTTCACCTGCATAGAAACTCATTAATCACTCATACAAACCTGATTTGATGGATTCATTTTGTTTTATAGCAGTTGGGTGAAGATTTGTAGTGAACAAGAAAAATTGGAACACGGTCCTATCACTCATACACCCTTAATGCATCGTTCTTAGACGATGCGCCGTTCGTAATGGCCAAACATAAATGTTGTATTTTTTATATAAGTTTTTGCTAACTATGTTTGTAGGATATTATAAAAGCACTCCTGGAGTTTTTAAATATTTTTTGTTTTATTTTCAAGAACTATTTTCAAAATAAGATTTACTAAGACATATTTTTCTGCTTCGTGGCATTTTGACCATGATAATTCTCAGATTATATCAGCTATATCTTCTGTATAATATTCTCATTGTAATGTCTTTCTAAAACAATTTAATGTCTTTATTCCATATCTACATGGGCTGGTGTTATTCTTTGCATAGAAAAGGCAATAGCTAACTCCGGTGTTTCAAGGGAGGATGTGAACTACATAAATGCACATGCCACATCCACACCTATTGGAGATCTTAAGGAGTACCAAGCTTTGATTCATCTACTTGGAGCAGCTGGTGGTGTGGAAGCAGTAGAAACTATACAGGTGAAAATTAATGTCCCACATTTTTCTTGTAATGTAACCTAAGTGTTGTGACAAAAAAGTTGAGGATTTTTTTTTATTTCCCTACATGTAGGCAATAAGGACATGGTGGACTCATCCTAATATTAATCTAGAAAACCCAAATAAAGCAGTGGAATGATCTTGTTTGTATTTCTCTTCAATGCTTACTGTAAAATCGCCTTTTGTTCTCCATTTTTTATGAAGAATTGCATGGTACTGTAAATGTGTTACATACATTGGACTAAAAATTAACCAATTGATGATAGCCATAAGAAGTGGGCTGCCAGAGCATCCCACCTTACTTTATCTTTGGAAATAAATATTGGCACACTTGGGCATCAGAATTCTCTTGGATAAATAGATGGCTTTTGTAGGTGTATTGATCTGAAACAACTTGCATTGAAGTAGCTATGAAAATGAGATCTGTTTAGCAACATTGCAACTGGAATTAGTTTTATTTTTGGGTTAGGCTAATTATTTTTGCATATTATCAATGTCTCTGTTTAAGAAACTATGTAATTATTAAATTTTATGCAGCAAATGTAAGAAGGAGATAAACAGTATATTGTTATCGCCAATAAGAGATAACATTTTATCAAGTTTATTCATGCGAGTAGTTATATTCTTTTTACATTTTTAATGATTTACGGTGGTTTTTAACCTCCGAAAACAAAACCCCTGCAGTATAAATAAAATATTATTATTTTTAATACATATGCTGAGTCACAAATGCATACTAATACTTATTGTCATGCCACATCAGCCAACTTAACATTTTCACAGCCAAATTAACGGAATGGGCCTAATTAGTTAACGGAAGTATTGTTAAGGGACTTATTTGTAACATTTATTACATAAGGAACCAAATTGAATTATGAAATTAAGTTATGGGACTTCAGGATTAAATAAGCCTAATAACTATTATTATATTATATGATGTTCCACATTTCACTTAAGTGCACCGTATCTTACGGTATTCCATAATTATCTCAAGTACATTGTATCTTACGATGTTCTTTATTTATTCTATCTTTCATCAATTTGTTCTTATGTGTGTAACCCTGTAGGTTTTCGTAATGTTGGCAATTATATTAAACCATACATTTAATATAATAAACAGTGAGTGGTATCTAGCAACATATTACTGTTACCCAAGTCACGAAAATATCATGTGATCTGACAAAAACTTTTTCGTGATAATGTTTGTATGTACATTTACCCTTTTGCCCTCATGTCCATATTGAACATAAGGCATATACCGTGTCACCCTTGTCCAGTTCAATATTGGGCCCTTAGACATTTATCCTGTTACGCGGGATGGGGAAATTCCATCTAGGTCACTCATGTTCCTCTGCATGCTTTATGAAGTACCCATCAACTGTCTTTATTTTTATCCAATTACGGATAATGTTTGATCAGCAATAAAAAACTTAACTTTACATCTAGGGTCCATAGTGGTTTCAAGTCAAAGGGTGGTATACACCACTTATCACCATGAGAATATCTTATGGCACTTTGCATAACATTCTATGCAGTATTCTCATAGCGGGTCAATCCAGTATAAATATTACTCCTAATATTCATACCTATGTCAAGACTTGATAACTCCTTATCCATGATCCATGAGATGTGATCATCAGTCTGTCTTCATAATAATCTCAATGCTTATGTTATCCCGTTTCACAATAAAGCATGACTACATATACTTTAAGAATAATGTTCTTATGTTTAATGGGATCTCATGATTAAGTCACACTTAACATTTCATTAAACAGACTAACTATTTTAGGGACTTTATCATTTTGGAAACACAAACATAATAAAGAAATGTCTTTTTATTATTAATAAATAATTCGATACAAGTACCAAAAGTATTGGCCTCTAGGGCTTACACCGATAATCTCACACTAGTACTAGAGCCAATAAGGTATACATCTAATACCCATAAATCTAGTATGGCCATCATGCTTCTACTTCACAAGAGGCTTTGCTAGTGGGTCAAGGATATTATCAAGTGTTAGTACTCTGTATATCTTTACATATACTATTTGTATCATCTCTCGAATGAGGTGATATCATCTAAGTGTGTGTTTGGATCATTGGTAATATCTAGGCTCCTTAGCTTGTGTGATAACACCATTTACATCACAATAGAGATCAACGGGATCCACAATGCTATGGACTATGCCAAGTTTATAATGAACTTGTTGACCTAAACAGCTTCCTTTGTTGCATCCAAAGCAACAATACACTCGACTTCGGTTATAGAATCAACGACTATACCATGCTTTGAACTTTTCAAGCTTACAACGCCACCATTTAAGCAAAACAAATAACCAGATTTGAGTAATATGTCATCTACATATAATATCAGGATGATGATCATGCTCCCACTAACCTTATTATAGAAACAAGGCTCATTTTGATCCATGATAATACATCACCTTGATCAATTACGAGATAACCATATCTCTCAGGTTGGTGACGTATCATATTTGATTTATGCTAGTCTTGTTCTACTTGAGCAGGTTGCTCTTCCACAACTATTTGTGTTTCTTGCTTTAGTTCCTCCATAGGTGTATCACTGATTTTGTGATTCTTAAATTTCTTCAAACTCTACTTTCCTCCCACTGATTCCTTTGGAAATAGAGTCCTTTTCCAAGAAAACTCAAGTTCAAGCGACAAACACTTTGCCATTAGAAGGATTGTATAAATAATATCCTCTTATTTCTTTAGGATACCACACAAATAAGCACTTTTCAAATTTGGGCTCAAGCTTTGTTGAAATTTATCGTTTCACATAAACTTCGTAACCCCAAATCTTCATGAAAGACATAAGTGGTCTCTTACCACTCCATATCTCATATGGTGTCTTCTCAACCTTTTTGGATGGAACATGGTTAAGTGTGCAAGCTGTTGTCAATAAAGTGTGTCCCTAAATGGAGTTTGGAAGATTAGTGTGAATCGTCATATATTAAACCATGTCTAACAATGTTCAGTTTCTTCTCTCTGATACACCATTCCATTGTGGTGTTCCTGGAGGAGTAAGTTGGGATAGAATCCCACATTCCTTAGATGGTCATCAAACTCTAAGTTGCTTTGACCTGATCGAAGAACTTTAATATTCTTATCTAGTTGGTTTTTTACTTTTTTCTTGAATTCCTTGAACTTTTCAAAGGTTTCGGGTTTGTGTTTCATTAAATACACATAACCATATCTACTGAAATCATCAGTAAATATGATGAAGTATTGAAAACCTCCTATGGATGGTATGTTCAATGGTCCACATACATCAGTATGTATGAGGGTAAAAAGATCATTAGCCCTTTCACCTTTTTTCTATGAATGGGGACTTTGTCATATTTCCAATTAAACAAGATTTGCATTTCTCATATGATTCATAATCAAAAGAGTCCAATAGTCCATCTTTATGGAGTTTGGAAATACATTTCTCATTTATGTGACCTAAGCGACAATTCCAAAGGTAACTTGGATTTTACTCATTAGGTTTAATCCTTTTTGTATTAATGTTATAATTTGGCATTTCAAGATCAAGGACATACAGTCCATTGTTCATTTGTGCAGAAACATAGAATATATCATTCAAATAAATAGAGCAATAATTATTCTTTATTATGAATGAAAAACCAAACTTGTCCAAACAAGAAACAGAAATAATATTTCTGCTAATTGCGGGTATATAATAACAGTTCTCTAACTGAATTATTAAACCATTAAGTAAAGTTAAAACATAAGTTCCTATGGCTAAAGCAGCAATCTTTGCTCCATTGCCAACTCGCAGGTCAACTTCACCTTTTGCCAAATCTCTACTCCTTTTAAGCCCATGCACATTGGTACAAATGTGAGAACCGCATCCAGTATCTAATTCCCAAGATGCAGAAGTAGATAAATTAATTTCTATAACAAAAATACCTAAATTTGAAGTATCTACTCCATTCTTCTTATCTTCCAAGTACTTTGGGCAGTTTCTCTTCCAGTTTCCGGTCTTACCGCAATGGAAGTAAGTTCCCTCTTTTTTTATGCCTCCACTAGACTTCAAAGCAGGAACAGTAGGTTTAGGTTTGGCGACTTCCTTGCCTTTCCCTTTACCAACCTGCTTGGTGGGCCTTTTGTTTAGCTTCTTTCCATTACTGACCATCAGAATGGACTTCCCTTTTGACTTCACATTTTGCTTAGCATTTCTTAACATTCTTAGCAACTCTGGAAGACTTTTGTCCATGTTATTCATGTTGAAATTCAGGAAAAAATGATTGAAGCTCTCTGGCAACGATTGTAAGATCAAACCAGTTGCAAGTTCCTTTCCAAGGGGAAACCCTAACTTTTCAATGTTCTCCACATACCCAATCATCTTGAGTACATAAGTACCTACAGAGGTTCCCTCAGGTAACTTGCTATTAAAAAGGGTCTTTGAAACTTGAAACCTCTCATTTCTTGCATGCTCTTGATCGAGCATCTTTAGATGTCAGATTATATTAAACGCGGGCATGTTCTCATGCTGCTTTTATAACTCTGAGTTCATGGTAGCTAGCATAAGGCAAGCGGTTTCATTGGCATCATTGATATGCTTCTTATAAGCATCTCTTTCTGTCTTAGATGTAGAACTAGGAGGTTCCATTTCAGGAACAAGTGTCTCCAAGACATATAGCTTTTTATCATGCTTGAAGACAATCCTCAGATTTTGGTGCCAATCCAGAAAATTTGTCCCTGACAATTTTTTCTTATCAAGGATTGATCGGAAAATGTTGTTAGAGGTGTTTGTTGTCATGGTAATCTACAAGAAAAATATGAAAATATAAGTATCATTAAAACAACATATTCAGTTAGGTCTTTAATCAAATATGCTCCCACTATTTTACTCAAACTAAATGACCCTCGTCATTTGATTCAGAAAATCCCGTTGGAAGATTTTCTAGTGGGTCGAGATCCACATTTCACTTTGTTTTAAGTTAGTGTTAGGCTGATTACACAAAACTAGGTTATTTAGGTAGGAACTCCTTCCAATTGTAACTCATACAATTCTTGAATATTTTCATTTGGGTGAATAACCCCTTATTCTAATCCACCATATGAATCATTCCCAACTCTTGCTTTTAAACATGTATAATCTTATTATAATTT